TTCACTAAGTTCTCCATTTATTGATACCGCTGCAGTCTGATCCCAGTAAAGGTTTTTCAAAATTTTTATGTCTTTTTCATCAATACCTTTTTGTCCAAGGTCTTTGATTATTTCCATGTGCTTTACTCTGTCAAATGCTTTCTCGTAATCAACAAAGGCAGCATCTACATTGTTCTGCATTTAGATATTTCTTTCGGTTAAACATCTCATCACGAAGATGGCATTCCTTGTACCCTTTTTCCTTTCTAAATCCAATCTACTTCCCAATCTACTTCAGTGAGGATTTTTTCATTGTTTATAATTATTCTTGTTAACATCTTTGTGATATGACTCATGAGACTGATGAGTCGTTGGTTGCAGCACTCAAGATGGTCGCCTGTTTTGGTGAAGGGATAAAAATAGATTCTTTCATTTGTTGTTTGCGATTGTGGTCAGATTTTCAGTACCAATCAGTACCACAAGCTATCAGCATCAGGCGAATTCGTAATTTCCTGGTGTTTTGTTGTTCTTCTATTTCGCTCTTCAAGATATATTGGTCTTCCAGTTCTGCTTGATCCTTGGGTCTATCAGGTCTCGTGTCATCGAAAAGTTCTCCAACGTAGTCTATCCATCTGTTTTTGAGGTTTTCTTCGTCAAGCAGAACCTTCCCAGACTTGTCTTTCAGGATATTACTGGCAGGTCGGGTTTTACGCTTGTGTGTTGTCTTGATTTTATTGTACATAAGTGAGATTTCTCTATTTTTTTTTTAGATCTTCAAGTTCAACTATTTTTCCTTCGCTTCCTGAAATTTCTTTCTAACTTCACGTTTTTTGTCTTTGCATTCGCAGCTATTTTTCTTGTATTTGCGCCTTTTGAACATCAATTTCAGTTGTCAGTTTTGTTTTCCTACTGATTCTTTTTTTTGGGAGGATTTTATTAGCTGATTCTAAGAGAACTTGTGTGATATTGTTCCAGTCCTCTTCAGCTGAGTGTTCGTTATCTGCCTGTTTTACATTGAGGGCACTGGACCGCTTCTTGACTTCAATTTTGAAATTTTGATGGAGAAGAGCAACATTTTGTCTTTGCTTCTTCTTTTTTTTTCAAATTGCATTTAATTTCATGATCAATTACCATCTATCTATAAGACGAAAAAGACTTCGGGAGTCAATTCTGAGGAAAAATCCCGAAGGCAGTTCGTTGTCGCTCGCGACCTCGTCCTGGCAACTCCTGCGACGCCGCTGGTGCCGAACCGTATCGGTCCATGCGTTCCTTTGGGTCCATCGGCTTCGTGGGGAGAGGGAGCATATTGCATGGGCAACAGCTTGATCCTCACATTCTTTCGCCAGGCATTGACTCTACCTTTACGGGAGTGGGTACAGGCAATAATACATTAGTCGACATCGACTGAAGGTAGCCTTCAGTGTATATATATATACATATATATATGTGTATATATATATATATATATATATATATATATATATATATGTATATATATATATATATATATATATATATATATATATATATGTATATATATATATATATATATATATATATATATATATATATATATATGTATGTATTTATATCTATATATCTATATATCTATCTATCTATCTATCTATCTATCTATCTATCTATCTATCTATCTATATATATATATATATATATATGTATATATATGCACACACACATACATATAAATGTTATCTGAGACTTATATATTAAAGCCTCGTGTGCGTTCCTATATATATGTAAATCGCATGATATATTTAGTTTTCAATTTGTTTAACTTCGGGTCAATGACTCGGATTCCCTAATTAGCTCTTGATTAACTCCGAGCACAAGATGATCAAACCTATCAAAGATAAGGAATCGTAGTTGTTTAATTAAGAAAGTATATAAAAAAAGGAAAAGGAAAAAAAAAGAAGAAAAAAAAATGTTCTAATTAATATCGTCTTGAAATAGTCTTTAAAATTCTTACAGAAATTTCGGTATAAAACATCTACGCAGATACTGAAAAAAAAGAAATAAAAAAACGAAATAGAGGCAGACAAAGCAGGCAGACAGACAGGCAGGCAGACAGACAGGCAGGTAGGCAAGCAGGCAGACAGGGAGACAAGTAGGTAGACAGACTGGCAGGTAGGCAGGAAGGCAGGTAGGCAGGCAGGCAGGCAGACAGGCAGACAGGCAGGTAGGCAAGCAGGCAGACAGGGATACAAGCAGGTAGACAGACTGGCAGGTAGGCAGGAAGGCAGGCTGGCAGGCAGGCAAGCAGACAAGCAGGTAGGCAGACAGGCAGGCAGGCAGACAGGCAGGCAGACAGGCAGGCAGGCAGATAGGCAGGCAGGCAGACAGGCAGGCAGGTAGATAGGCAGGCAGTCAGGCAGGCAGGCAAGCAGACAAGCAGGTAGGCAGACAGGCAGGCAGGCAGGGAGACAAGCAGGTAGGCAGACAGGCAGGCAGGCAGACAAGCAGGTAGGGAGATAGGCAGGCAAGAAAGCAAGCAGAGAGACAG